GTGCGTCCATTAAATGCTTTTCTTCATGGAGATGTTTTTGCTTTGTCTGGCATGTTTCACAGTATGGCATTAAACCTTTCTATTTTCATGGTGACCAAACCAAGTCACAGGTCAGATCTGTGGACAGACAACCCTGCTCAGTCAGAATATCTGTTTGTCTAGGTATTTTTGAGCTATAAAACCACCTGTAATTGAATAAATGTAAAGTAGAGCTGTTCAATGTCACACTGTTGAACATTCTAAGCAAAGCGATGACATATCCATAGAAAGGGTACATAGTTTAGTTTTAAGTGCTAGTCTCAAGTGCTTTCACTGTATTGTATTTTTGGATTTTATCTTTTATTAGTATGAATATTTTTAATCTGTAAGGTACCTTGAGAGCTGATCTATGTGAAAGACGCTCTATAAATAAATGTGACTTACTTAGTCTTATTTGAATTCAACTGGCTTCAGAAATATTTGTAGCAAAACTCACAATCATTAACTTTTTGCAACACACATGAGGTGTTTTTTCTAGAATTTTGATTTAAGTCATACTATAGGTTTCAGTATGATGAAAAATTAGGACAGTGCCATAGTAATTTACAATTTCAGGGGCCTATGTTATTTTTTATCAATGTTATAATGTTGTTTCCTCTTCAGAAACATACCTGGTGTTGTGTTTTGTTTCATTAACACACATTTTACGATTGAGCTCTGTTCCACCTTGTGATGTCACCTGGTAATACAGGAAGTTCTCTGTTGTGTTTTTAAACTCCATACACCTACACTAGAATCGCTGGCTATTCCAGGGCTGAAATGATCCAAATCTCTACTAAACAAAAGGTTATAAGTAGCTGTTCACTTAAACTACCAGTTCATGACATACATACAGACATCCTAATAATAAAGAGTTACTCAAACATGTGTGAATGAAACAAGACACAACTCTAGGTATGTTTTTGAGGAGGTAACAACTTTGTAACATCGCATAAAGCTCACAAGAGTCAATTTCTTTGCATAATATAGCACCTTTAAAACTAAATAGTGCTCAAATTGCTGCACACAACAAGAAGCTTGGACTGAATACACTGTGAATTCACAATAACATGTGCTAGCTCTTATGCGGTCAGTAGAACATCCATTTGCCCTCTCTGTACCTTTTCCAGACCAGTCAGCGCTAAAACTACAGAACCACAGACTGCAGATTCACGCAAGCTTTTAATTTTCGGCAGCTCTCTATTGAGACATCACAATACATAGACCCAGACTCTCTTAATTACAGCTAACACCAAACAGAACGGGGGAAGAGATGGCCTCATATGACCCCTGATTGGAACCTTCTGGGAGAGAAACATTTCTAGCTGGCTACAGTAATCATTAGCGCATCGATTAGCTCCCACTTGCAGTGAGATGGATGGGGAAACCGCAAAGGGAGGAGGATGCTAGGGGGAAAAATAAAGACCAGATTAAGTGGTTTTGGGAGTAAACATTTCCTCGGTAGTAAAATGTGCAGATGTAGTTCAGTGTGTCTGTTGTGGAAAGTTCATTGACGCTTTTAAGTTGAGTTAAAGGGCCCAAATTACACTATTTTCTGATCTGTGTTATTATGTTTCCACGTCACAAACATACCTGGAGGGGTGTTTGTTTCATTCATACATACATTTAACACATAAATCTTGCACGTTCTTCTGTCACCACTCTGTTCCACCTTGTGATGTCATCTGGTTATACAGGAAGAGCTCCACTGTGTTTTTAAACTCTGTACTGTACATCTTCACTAGACTCACTTGGATGATTTCAGCTGTGGAATTGCCAGTCTCTACTGAAGATAAAAAGGTAGCTGTTCACTTGAAAACTACCACTGCATGACTTCACAAGGTGGAACAGAGTATTCTGAGCTTGATAGGATTTCTTAAAAGTGTAAATGAATGAAAACACAACTCAGGTATGTTTTTGAGGCAGTAACAACATTCTAACATGACTTAAAGCTCACAAGATAAATGTTGAGTAATATAGGACCTTTAATGTAATCTTGCCTGGTTTGCACAGTCGTCTAGTATTAGAATTGTCAGTATATTGGAAGCTTCTCTTGAGTGTTGATTTGTTTATGTTGTCATTTTTTGAGTTGAAGCATCCTGAACACGGCTGCTCCGCTGTTCTCTTCTCCGCTCTGGGTTGTCACAGTTTGGTCGGCTGGCAGGGACCGTCTGTGCTGAGGCTAAATATAGACCACTGCACCAGGAAGAAGACTGAACGGAGAGAGAGGAAAAGGAGGAGAGGAGAGAGGGAGCAGAGGAGAGGGGAGGAGGAGAGGGGAGGGGAGAGAGGAGAGAGAGCAGGAGGGAGGGAGGGAGAAGAGCGACAGAGTAGTGGGGAAGAGAGGGAGGGGCGTAAATATAGAGTACCCCCGTGCAATTAAAGAGTCAAGCAAAACGGGGGAATTTTAGGGAATCAGACACTGTTCTTGAAGGGCTCATATTACTGTTTTTGGATCTATGTTATAATGTTTCATTATCAAAAACTTACTTAGTCTTTTTTAAATTGGCTTCAGAAATGTCTGTTAAATTTAAGGCAAAGTACTCTCACTTTCTTCTAATGCATTTATCCATAGGTTTTAGTATGATTAATACTTGGACTCTTGCCATAGTGATTAACGATTTAAAAGGCCCATATTACGCTCACTTATGATCTGTTATGATGTTGCGTCCTTATCACAATACTTGGGGTTGTGTTTTTTGTTTTGTTCAAACACGTTTAACACACACAGTTATTCTCTGTTCCATCTTGAGATGTCATGTCATAATACAGGAAGTACTCCATTGTGTTTTTAAACACCATACACCTTCACTGGAATCATACGGATGATTTCAGCTCTGGGATTGCCCATCTCTACTGAACCAAAAGGTAAAATGTAGCTGTTAAGTTGAAACCTATAGCTGCGTGACATCACAAGGTGGAACAGAGCATTTTGAGCTTTGGAGATGTAGACAGACTAATAATAAGTGATTACTGCAAACATGTGAGAACAAAACTGGGGATGCACCGATGCTGCTTTTTTAGTTCCAATTTTGATACTATTTAAGTATCTGTTGATAACCAATATCAATCAATACCAGCACAGAGACTGTGAAAAGCATTTATTTCCTTTAAAACAAAAATAAAATAAGACAAAATTCCAGGTGTGTTATGTAGCCCACTATGACCAGTTTTATTACATCATTGTATATGTCTGATCAGGGTATCACATGAACCAATATTTAGAAGTCAATTTCCAATCCAACAATTGTTTTCGGCATCGGGGCTGGTATCCAATACCAGTATCATATCAGTGCATCTGTAAATGAAACAAAACACAACTCCAGGTATGTTTATGATGAGGTAACATTATAACATGGCTGATAGCTCATAAGAGTCAATTTTGTGTAATATAGGACCTTTTTAGCTCATAGTTTTGAGTGGATGTGTATTTGGCGGCAGCGAGTGCCTTTGCGATGAGTCATGGCTTCTGACAAAATCTAACCCAGTTAACAGAGCAGGAGACCAGCTCTAATTCAGTCATGATCTGGCTCTGAGCACACTCTAATTTACTTCCAGTAAAATGCACACATGCGTAATGGTTAAGGTAGCATAATGTTTTCATAGACTTAAAGAGCCACACACATTGTCGCTACTTTTGCAATTACAGATGCAGTAAAAGCTCAAGGTTTATGTTTAAAGGCCAAGCTTAGTATAAAGTTCATGCATCCTGGATTGTCTCACCACACATACATTGGAGCCGAAGCTACTCTTTAGTGCTCAAATTTAGATCTGTCATGATAACAAAAGCAGTATTTTCCAGACAAACATACATGCATGAACATTCACACAGACAGTGGCTCCCTCTTTTCTGCATCACTCAAGAAAAAACAAAAACTGAAACACAACCCTGCGCATGCCAGTTCATTTTTCCCACAATCAGGGAATAATAACTCCACAAAATGCTTCTGTATACACTGTATTTAAAACAAAACAATTTATTTAAAGATATCCAAAAAAGATTAAATTGAAATTACTAAACCATAATCCAGAATTACCCACAAAACATATTCTGAACGTACAATTTTGCAAAACAATATGAGCTGCAATAAATATGTGACACAATTCAACACTTGCATAGTCATAAAAAATAACCAAACATTTCACACTAGTATGAAAAAAAAGTACCACAATAAACTCTGACCTCCAAAAATGATTGTTCAATCATTGTTAGGTACTACAGAGGAAAACTAGCTATTTATCTTACAGTCTCCATGGAGATGTTATAGTAAATAACAGGGATTTTTATTGCTCAAAAATACATTATAAACATAAATTCTCATTGTCAGCATAATCGCCTCTCCACAGAGCTGACCTGTAGCTCGGCCTTGTAGCATCACTTGCTCATTCTTTGGAAATGGATGTGTTTAATGCCATGATGTAGAAAACTGCAAAATTCCAGAATTTCAAAATTTGTTCTGCTGACATTCCTGCTTTCATACAAATGTCATTCTCATAACATTGGACATTGAGAGACTTACAACAAAGTCAACATTTTTAAACATTGGCAAACTATCGGGTTTGGCTCCTAAATGCTTTCTGTGGCTTTTGAACTCTTTATACTCAATCAGGAGCATTCTCCAAATACCTGAGAGTTCGCAAATGTAGTCTGAAAACCACCCGACATTATCTGCTCTCCTCAGACACATGAGCGCCTGCAGCCATACATGTCCTCTCTCCCCTTCCTTTTTATCATTTTGTTCCAACTCAATACAAAAAAAATCTCCTTCTGAGTGTGTATTTGCATTGTAGCCTATATTTCTGTTGAACTTAAATGGTCACAGTGTTCCCCAGACGATAAGTTCACTCTGATATCTTACTCTAACTATAATAATTGGCATGATAAGGTCTCTATAGTCTTCATACACGCCATAATATTTACTCTTGCGCGTATCAAAGTTTTTGTTTACTGATGCTAACCAAAGCTTTTCTTTTCTCCCCAGAATGCTGATGTCATATCTGCAACCTTGTGGAAACAATCTGGTACGCCTCAAGGAGTGTGGAATGCCCCGCCCCTTCCTGTTGGACGTCCAATCAGAAGAGAGAGCAGCTGGAAAAGGACACGCCCCTCAAGCACTTTGACATAGACTGATGGATTTTTCCTTGTTGGTTGTGAAAACCAGCATGCGTGTGTGCCAAAAGACTTTAAACTAATATAATGCTGCTCTCATTCCCTCAGTTAAAGCCAATAACAGAATGGTACAACAGAGACAGAGATCAGTGTTTATTTCTGAAAAAAAATAATAATAATATTGTATAGATTACAATGGTGGAAGAATTTAGTTTGTAAAATATATAGAATTATATGTCAGCTCAAAAGTGCCTCATTTTCAGATCGTAGCCATTTTACAATAATTTTAATATCGATTAAACAGATGCTTTGGTTTCATGTAGATTAAAGACAGCTCAAGAATTCATCTTAGATCACACCAGTGTGAGCTTTTCTCTATTAGCACTCTGTCTTATGATTTAGCAACACACCTAGTATCTGTTCAATAGGACATACAAATTTTCTACTTTTTTACTTTTTAACTTCTCATTTTGCTGCTGCTGTTCAAAACATAAAAGAGCCATACAACATATACTTAAAAACAAAAGGCACTTGATGGAATAGCTTGTAATTGGGCTAACACAAGCTATGTCTGATTAGCATTTTAGCTCCAGCAGTATTCACTGTGCTGCTGACAGCAGCTCCGGGTGAGACCCCTGATCCAGAGCCAACCAATCCCATTAGCGCTGTTAGCTCCAGACACTTGTGTCTCACTTAATCCTCTTCGTCTCAGGATCCTCCATAACACGCAGTACACACACCAGGACACACACCGGGACAGATCCAGGACCATAGACTGTTTATATAAATGGACGCACTAGCCGCACTAGACGCACTAGCCGGCGCATTCCAAATCTCCCATTGACTTACACTGATGGGAATATTGTGTCTCCTCTCTCTGTGACTGAAGGTGTGGGACTCATCATTTTGGTCTTAAAATGTTCGTATTATTTTCGCTATTTTGTCAGTTTAAAAAATTCTATTCATAGTATAGAACCTGGCTCCAAATTTGCCCCTGCGACCACTAGCATCGCAAGCTTCATTTGGAGCTGAAGACTGTGGTTGATGTCACACTCACTTTGTCCACTTCTTTATACAGTCTATGCCCGGGACACACACTGGGACACACACTGGGACAGACCCTATAATAGCCATGTTAATGCTGGCTCTAGTGTTAGTATGTTAAAGCTTAAGCACACTCTCAGTACAGTAAGGGCTCAGCAAAAACTGTCCAGTAGAAACAATCACTAAAATACTCAAAGCATTTTAAGGTACTAAACATTTTAAAGGTATTTTAATTTGTTCGAGGATCTGATTCAAATTCTTGACTGGCTCTTGTTTTAATCTGCGCTATGCATTAGCACTTAAGTGCCTGTCCCCTCTTAGCAGCTATAGCACTGATAGGGCTGCCCAACAGAAACTCAAGTTTATTTTTGTGTCTATTTTTCTGTACAGAATTACAAATGTTCATAGTGACTTATGTAAAGACAGCTATGGCCCTTATCAGAACAGTTCTGGCCAATATCTTTATGTTTGAGGACTTTATCATTGAGCTGTGTGTGTGCCAAATCACAACAGAGAGAAAAAAAAGACAGAAGTGATTTGTTTTGTCCAATCTCAACCTCAAGAAGTCTGAACCTTCAGCTCAAGATGTTTTGTTTTGTTGTTTGAAAATGTAATCTTCTGTGGTCCTCTGTTTTGTTTTTCTTCTGGAACACAGGAGGGAAGAGCTGTGACCTATCTCAGTCTGCTTATGTGACGTGGTGATAAAGGTCCTTGTGAAGACTTGCGTATGCTTTAACCTTGAATTTCTGTATGTCTTTGAGGATTCAATAGAAATGCATGATTTGAAAGAAAAGACCACAGCGCAAACTAAAAATACTCCTCACTCATCTGTCCAGTTCGTACTCATGTGTTTGCTCAAGGAGCTTCCTGGTCACATGACTGCTGGGGGCTTATGTGAAACAAAGCAGCTTTTTCTGTGCTACATATTTGGTGCACCTAATTATTTTTACAGACTCAAATGGGAGATTTCAGTGTCATATTATCTTTTTTGCAGGCAAGCACATGACATTTTGTTTCCATTTATTTATAACTTCTAATGAAACGCTTCATCTTTAAAGGCCCTATATTATGCAAAATTGACTCTTGTGAGCTTTAAGTCATGTTGTAATGTTGTTACCTCTCCAAAAACATAACTGGAGTTGTGTCACACATGTTTGAGTATTCTTTTATAGGTCTGTCAGCATCTCCAAAGCTTAAAATGCTCTGTTCCACCTTGTAATGTCAAGATGCTGTAGTTTCCAAGATGACAGCTACCTTTTACCTTTAGTTCAGTAAAGATGAGCAAATCCAGCTCTGAAATCATCCAAAGCATGTTTGTGATGAGGAAATAACATCACATAGATCAGAAAATAGTGTAATATGGGCTCTTTAAAACACTTTTGGGTATAAAATGTATTCTAATTTGCAGATTCATTGTAACATATAATTACTCAAGCTCAGGCAACTTGTGCAAGATGGTGTATGATTTCACTCTACGCATTCATAGACATTTTAAGATACGCAGATGTTTGCTGCTCATGTTTGACTCATTTATATTTTGTTTTCCTGAGGGACGGTACTGAACGGGAATTATGTTAAGATTTTGCCATTGATGTGTAGACAGTTCTTTGTTGCTTGGTAAAAATCTGACTAAACGAATGAACTCAAAAATGTGTCATTGTGGTCTTTAATTTCTGTTTGAGTGATGAAAGTGGAAGCAGTGGTGGAAGAAGTACTCACTTGTGTTACTTAAAGGCTTCTCTCCATGGAGATGTTGCCTGGAATGTTCCACAGTATGGCATTGCACTTATTTATCTTTACAGAGACAGCAAGTGACACCACTGGACCAAGTTACATGTCAGATCTGTGGAGAGGTAAGCCCACTCACAGTATGAATGAAAGAGTTTTTCAAGTCAATAAAAAACATGTTATTTAGTAAATGCAAGATTAAAATGTTTAATGCCATACTGGGACATTCCAAACAAAGCAACAGCATCTCCATGGAGACAAGCAGGTGGCAGATCCTCCAGGATTAAATTACCCGTTTAAAAATGTATTTAAACAGTAAAAAGTCAAAGTATTTCGCACATGTTTTTAGATCTAATAAAGCTAAATTTTGTTCAACAGAAACTGTTGAATCTGTTTTTTCTAGCTGTTTTAATTTGTATATTTTTGTTTGCTCAAACTATGAACTTGATAAAAAAAAAAAATAACCCTTAACCTTTTCAGCAGGTCTCAGATAATCCCAAAAAATACTTTTACTTTACAGTCCAGTTCTAAAATGTAGACAGTGGAGTAGAAAGTACAGATACCTGCTCCCAAAATAGTCAAGTAAAAGTAATAAATATCCATTTTACATTTTTACTTAAAGATGTGACTGTGTAACTTGACCAGTGGAGGGTCTGTCACCATGGAGATATTTTTTGCTTCGCCTGGAAATTTCACAATATTAAATATCTATTTCCACAGAAAAAAAACACCTATAATTAAATAGTAAGCTAGTTTAATGCCATACTGTGGTACATTCTAGCAAAAGCAATCTCCCTAGCATATCTCCATGGACAAAACCAGGTGCCAGAATCCTACCGTACTTTACTACTTTTGCTTTGTTACCTTCCATCACTGATTAGGGGTGATAAAATACTGACTGAAAAACACCAAACCAGATCAGGGGGAAAATTTTACAAGGTGGGCTGTTATAGCGCCAACATCTGGACAACTTATAAACAACTCATACTTGAACCTTTTATTTTCAACCACAGCAGATGTCACTCGTGTGGAAAAAAGTGCCTTCAAAGCTTTTCCTTCCCGTCAAGAATGTATTGTTCATCATCGTCTCATCTGTAAGAGTGATGGGACTTTCGGCTCCTTTGTGGGATCCCAATCTTTTCAAAGAGCCGTTAAAAAAACTGGCTCTTTTATATTTACTTACACTGCCAGGTGAAAGTTTGGACACACCCTCTAATTAAATTTTTTTTTTCTATGTGTTTACTTTTACATTGGATATACATACAGAAGACATCAAATATATGAAGATGTATGGAAGAAAAAAACTCAGAAATTTTATACTATATTTTATAACCAAATCCTCAAATCAGCCACTCCCCCACCCCCCAATTTTGAAAATGTTACATAACAAAAACACCCCACCCCTCTCTCCACACTCCATTGAACTTAACACACACACATATAGTCTGACTGTTTTTCAATTCGAAACAAAAAGATTTGGTTCTTTTAAAACATAAGATCCGGTTCTCTGGTGTCTGATGGAGGGTTTGTCACCTGCTTGTATCTGTGGAGATTTACCTAGAATGTTCCACAGTATGTCCATAAACTTAAGAATCTCCATGGTGACTTGAAAGCCAAATTAGAGGTTAGATCTGTGGAAAGGTGACCCCAATCACAGTAAGAATGTCTTGCATGTTTTTAAAGATATTTTTGAGCACATTAACACCTTATAAATACAAATATAAACCCAAGACACATTAGTTCAGGGGTCACCAAACTTTTTTCTCAGGGGCCCACATTATCTCTCCAGATTGTGATGGGGGGCTGGGGTTGGGTCGGCCATATAACAGAATTGTATGACCCTGACAACGCAAATTATATTCTTTGAAAACTGCCACACTTTCTTTACATATCAGACAAATTGCACAGTCCTTACACTGAATAAAAAAAATAATCGGACACCTGCTGTTCTTTGAAAACTCTGCATTCTCTGTCATACTTTAACACTTGCCATTTTTCTGTCCTTAACTGCACTACAGATCTCTGCGCATGCATTGACTGCCACTGTTTGATCTAGAGCTTGTCAGGTGATGAAAATGCGGCGTGAAAATGTAAATACGGCATATAATAATTTAAATATAATTATAAATACTTCATATAAATATATTTTTTTAATGGAAAAAATCAACAAAATACAAGATGCAAACATGTTATTATTTGCCAAAAAGTAATTTTAAAAAACATAAGCCATGACAACTTTTGAGGATTGCCTCGTAGGGCCAGTTGAAGCGGTGGGGGTCAGAGGGGCCAGTCAAAGTGGGCATGGAGTTTGATGACCCCTGGATTTAGTTTAATACCGTACTGTGGACAGTTGAAACTAAAGCATTAGTTTCTCAATGGAGGCGAACAGATCCTTGCAGAAAATTTACAATGTGCAACTTTAAGGAAGAGTTCAAAAGAGCCAAATCATTCACAAACATTACATCACTAGTCTTTATCATTTATACCAAAGCATTATCATCTTCATGAAGACAAACAGGTTGCGGGCCATTTCCAGAAAAGTTACACATTGCACCTTTAGGAAATCGTTCAAAGGAGCCAAATCATCCACAAACATTACATCACTAATCTGTACCATTTATACCAAAGCATTAACATCTCCACGAAAACAAACAGGTTGCGGGCCATTTCCAGAAAAGTTACACATTGCACCGTCTCATTTACTAATCTGTGTCACTATTGGCCCGTTTCCAATTTAGCTAATGAGTAGTGGTAATTTGACTAACTCTATTTACCACCTAGCCCCTCCCTCCTGTGTCTGAAAGGGCCTCTGTGTTAAAATGTATGGGAGGCAGACTGTATCATGGCTTGTTTGCAGATGGCAGTGTAACTCTACCCCACTGGGATGTGATTGAAATGACTACACATGAATCCGCCTACGTAGCATAGCCTTTAAACTGGCACTTCCCCCAGCTCTGTTAGCTAATATAAGCTGAGCTGCACCTGTACGCAAGGCACCCCCCTCCACACTCACACACACATACACACCCAAACACACACACACCTGCTTTTAAGGGAAACTAAAGACCGTCTGACCCTGTTATACTGTTTATATTTCTCCCATTACCTTAAAGGGCCCATATTACGCTGTTTTCTGATCTATGTTATAATGTTTCCTTGTCATCCTTCAAAACATCCCTGGAGTTGTGTTTTATTTCACTCACACAAGTTTAACTCTTGCTTATTTAGGCTGAGTTCTTCTCTCAAACAGAAAACACTTTGTGGTAATGTTACGGCACAGTTCTGTGACTGCAACAGAGAAAGGTGGCAGACACGACTACAGCAAAGGTTTAAGTTCTCTGCTGGAGCATTTACTAATAAGTTACAATAAACGCATGCAAATGGTGCGTTTTGGTAATTGACTGATGGCGTGGCCAGGTGGAGTCGAGCCAGAGTCCGAGTCACCTCGAAATAGAACAATTATTAAAACAAACACGGCACAACAGGGACCGTGAAAGGTTGAAAGTGCTGCACTGTGTTTTTAGACTCCAAGCACCTTCACTGTAATCATTTGGATCATTTCAGTCCTGGAATTGCCAGTCTTCATTGCACAAAAGTTAAAATGTTGAAAAAACTTGAGAACTTAAACTTAAAACTTGAAAACTACAGCTTCATGACATCACAAGGTGAGATGGAGCAGTTTGAGCTTTAGACATGTGGACAGACTAATAATAAAGGACTACTCACACATGTGTAAAATAAACAAAGCACAACTCCAGGTATGTTTTTGAGGACATAACATTAAATCATGTCTCACAAGAGTCAATTTTATGTAATATGGGACCTTTAAGTGAAACTAAAGCCTGTCTGACCCCGTTATACTATTTGCAGATCTCCTATTCCCTTAACATTCCCTGACTGCTACTAATCTCGACTGGAATGCTTTGTCATGGTCAGGAGTGGGTAGAGAGGTGAAATGCCACACTTAATAGCTAATCTAAATGTGATTCTATCTTTTTATAACATCGTGCTAGGTCAAATCAGGTAAAGACCTCACCTATGTCAGCAATTTCTTGTGACCAGATGTTAAAGGTATCTGCAATATGTACTCCTACTGGTCTAAAAATACAATGAATACAATAGCTAATGAACACGAGATCATATTGTGTTATATAGGGATGCACAAATAAATTATCGCAAACTGGTTTGAGTCATAGGAGCTCATTCTGCTTTGTGTTTATATAATCAGCTTGAGAATCTAAACACAGATACAGTATACACACCATTACGTTTGTAATTGTGTTTAGTTGTGCATTTATTTTGAGATTTATTTCACATTTGAGGACATAGAAGTGTATTGTTGATGAATTCTACTGAAAAAAAAAATCCTCACCATTCTTGTAATTGCACAATATTATAGTCGTATAGTAGTAATAGTAGAGCTTATGTATTATATAACAGGCAACATCACCTAAACCAGGCGTGTCCAAGCTATGGCCCGGGGGATAAATGTGACACTGAGACCAATTTTTCATGGCCCTCACGGCTCCAGCTGAATTGGCCCATGTTACCTTAAAGACGCACTGTGTAACTTTTGTGGTGGAGGGTTCGTCACTTGCTTGTTCCCATGGAGATATTACTTTTTTGTCTGGAATGTCCCGGTATGAAATTAAAAACATCCGTCCAGCATTTACTCAATATCACAAGTGTTTATTGTCCTAAAAACTTCAATTTTTATTGTGAGAATATGGGCTTGCCTCTCCGCACATCTGACATATGTAATGTGGCATATGTGGCATATGTATATTTAGGCCGAATTCTTCTCTAAAACAGAAAACACTCTGTTCCACCTTATGATGTCATGTGGTAATACAGGAAGTGCTCATTTGTGTTTTTAAACTTCATACACCTTCACTAGAATCACAGACTGTATAAAAAAAAGTGGACTAAGTGAGTGTGACATCACCCATAGCGTTCAGCACCGCTCAAATGAGGCTCGCGATGCTAACGGTTACAGGAGAGAATCTGGATCCAGGCTCAATGTTATGAATAGGATTTTGATGGACAAAAGAGAGAAAAAAAAAATCCAGATCCTGTAGGTCGGTTAATACTAACATTTTAAGACTAAAATGATGAGGCTCACTGTAGCAGTTACAGAGAGAG